AAAAAATTGCGGAAAATAATCTTCAAAGAGCTTCAAAAGAGAAAGTGAAGAGAGGAATGGAACTTACTTTAGGGGAAGCACTTGAAGAAAGGTCGAGGATGGAGAAAGTTCATAAGATAAATAATAATCTCCAAGTAATTTTAACAGGTGTGGGTAAACTTATTACAGCAGATAAACCAGAGGGGGAAGATATAAGCACTCTAACTACCAAATATAATGTTAAGGATTTTGACAAAAATAATAATGTTTTTGTAGATGATCCGGATACCATTACTGAAATTTATAACGGTGTTGGTGGAGCAGGAGCAACCATTACAGAAATATTAGATCATGCTAAAAGTTTTTTGAATAAAGCCCTTACTATTAAGATGACACCGGCTAATTCAACGACTTTTAAAGAAACTGCATTAATGCTTTATAATGATAGAAGATGAAACTGTAAAAACAATCTTATGGATGGATTGAATCAATATGGAATTATGTATTTGAGTGTTCTACGGGATATTGGTGCAGATAAACTTAAAAAAGTTATTGAAGCAAGTGGTTCTAGTATTAAGGATGAATTAAAAACTGATATCGAAAGGATTACTAAATATATTTCAGATATTGAATATAAAATTGGCGAAAAATTAACAATTAAAGAAATGAATGATTATATATTTGGAGATGAAAATAAAGCTATTGAATATGAAAACAAAAGAGCTATTCATAGTTTAAATACTCTAAACGAGAAACCTAGCGAGAAGAAAAAATTCCCTGATTATACAATTATCTTTAAGTTTATGAAAGAGGTATTTCCTCTAAAAAGCGGTACCACTACTTATGAGTTAGAAGATAAATCTTACCTCAATGACCCTAATGATGATAATTTTTTAAAACCAAGTGAGGCCGGTCAAAAAGGTTGAAAAAATTTAACTTTAGCTGGATATTCTTTTAATCCTAGAAAAGGTTCGCTCACCGATAAGGAAAATGCTATCCTTGATGATCAGGATGAGTATCCTAAAGCCATTGAAAGCGATAATGATTTTAAAACTCTTACTAAAATTTGATGAGAAATTTTTGGTTCTTTTATGGAAGACACAGTAGATTCATCCAAAAATGATTGAGCGACTAATCATAAAATTTCGGATGGTAGAATTACAGGTTCGGAGGCGGTTTATTTAAGAGAAAATGAATATATTAAATATTGCAGAACTATGCAACAACTATTTTTAGCAATGAAAATTTCTTCTGATATTCATGATTATGATGAACATTTGATGAACATTTGTAAGGAAGTCTCACAAGGAAGAATTGTTTTTCCTGATAGAAGTAAACTTATTGAAAATCAAACAGGAGATAATAGACATAAATTTAAGCACGACTCTATTGAATTAGCGGTACAAAACAACAAGTTATGAAAAGATACTGGTAAGTGGGAAGATTATGCTTCAACTAAACTTTTCAAAACATCAAGTTCAGATTTAAGAACTGCTCAACACCGTGTTGATTCTCTAACAACTAAGGTTAATGACTTAGAAATAGATATTACTTCCCTTACTATGGAAAATAAAGACCTAGAAGCAGAAAAAAAACTTCTTGAAGGTTGAAAAGATTTTGACGGAAAAGATTTACCGGGCAAGAAAAATATATTTGAAGAACTTCACAAGAAAGGAAAATGAACTTGAGGGGAAACCGAACAAATGTTAGGGTACCTTGACACTATTAAAACCGAGATGAACGATGACACGGCATTCGAGACAGAATTTAAAACTAAAAAAGAGGCAATAGTAAAAAAACAAACTGATGCTTCGCC